CAGCGGGCAGTGGCGACTATCTCAAAGGGGAGGTTATCGTGTCGCATTGATGTCATGAAGAAGCGTTCTAACGGCATCTTACTGATTGTAAAACCTAAAAAAAATATTTTAGCGGCAGTGAACCAACTGATTTTGATTGATTATTTTTTCAGGTATATTTTATTTGCGTATAAAGTATAAAGTTTTATTTCAAATTTTATTTCTCTAAATTAAACGGTTGTCTGGAAGAGATCGCTTTTAGCGATAAGACCGCAATGTACAAATATTACTGCTTTTTGACTGTTTTTGAATGTATATTGTGTTTTGGTATGCAATAAAGTGTATTCTCTTTCTCTCTCTCAAATATTTACATATGTATTAAATTACGTCGAAAGCATATGAACGTTATTTTTAGTTTACTCCCAAAACAATTTCAATGAGATGTGATTTAAACGTGGCATTCCTAATGCAGTATCTTGCTTCGAGTAGATTTACGGTAAATATGCTAAATTATGCAAACTGTAAATGCCGCACACTAAAACACGAAATTCACCATATTCCTCCGACGTTGCTATACCGATAGGTAGTTTATCGTGATTCCTACGTTGTTATAGAATTCATTTATTACGTGTACGACAGTAGTTTTGTATGTGTGCGTTGTGGTCGCTAATATTCAAATTCATTGCCATTTGTGAAAATTTTATGAGACTTTCGAAACGACCATACAAAAAAAAATTTGAATAGATTAATATCCTCTAATAAAGGAATATTGAGAATTTAATTTGAAAGAAACGACTAGCGCAAAATCAATTAGCAACTGTCCAAAAACTCATTTATAAATAGCATGTCCAATAAATTTCCTCGTGCTTGCAATTCAAGCTTAAGGTTTAAGCGCAACAACGCAACGCGAACGAAATACGATTCCGACACGCCACAACCAATTAAAATTAAATTGTTAGATATACATGCGGAGCTCGACGGAAGCTTATCCAATATCTGAATTCCGTTAACTGGTACAAAGGACTGTCGCTACCACGTCGCTTTGTGCACACACAAGCAAATATCTCATGTTTGGAGAATCGAGTCGCTACGTACTAAGTACATAGCTGTTCAAATTGCTACGTTTGTACCCAAGGCTATAATACATATTGGTTTAGAGACATAATGGAACTATGTATTTCGTATCGTAATCTCTGAGGTACAAATTTGAACGATTTTTTTTATATAGTTTCAAACATAACCTTACTATGAAATCGAGTATGTTTGAGAGTTGTGTAAAAGTTTCAAGGAAGTTAAGTTCCCAGTCTTGAAAGTTTTGTGTGCGTTGTGTATTGGTAACGTAAACAAAATTTTGGTCCAATACACGTTGCCGCGAAAACAACTGATAGGGCTTTTAAAACGTGACTATACCGAGTAAGGACAAAGAGTACATAATCATGTAAAGCTATATTGTTTGCCACCGGGCACCTAGAAAAGTTATTTCCAACCTTGGAAACTTAAGTCACATTCAAAAGTTGGCCTCCCGCCGACGAAGCAAGTCGCGAAACATTGAACGAAAGTGACCGAACTTTGACTGAACCACGTTGCCAACAAAGTTTCACCCATCCGAACAATATTTGTTCCGTATCTCTTCTCACTGGAATCAAGTTTAAAGCGAATATAAACTGAGCTTTCGCAGCTGAGCAGTAATGAATGCGTTTCGGTTTGAAGGGTGGGTGGAGCAGCCGTTGTAACTATACTGAGACCTTAGAACTTATATCTCAAAATGGGTGGCGCATTTACGTTGAAGATGTCTATGGGATCCAGTAACCACTTAACACCAGGTGGGCTGTGAGATCGTCCATCCAACTAAGCAATAAAAAAGAAAAAAAGAGCTGTCATTGAATCCGTGCATTAAAATTGTGTGCCCTGTTTAATATTTTTTAAGCATTGTTGTTACGTAAACGCCAAACATATTGAGCCGTGACAATATTCAAATTGAGCGTAGCAGAAGGTCAAACCGTAAATAAAAATAAAACTTGTTCGAAAGAAACCGGTTTTGTTAAATAAATAGACACTAAAATTTATAACTATAAACAAAAACGTGTTTTTATAATTCATTCAAATCTTTTTAGAAAGCTCAAGATTAGACTAGGTGTTAAAATGCGAATGCCGGACTTTGTAATAGCTTGCATAAGTAATTTATGTTTATGCGAAATATCTATCTAACATATATTTGGGAATTTATTTTTATTATCTTTCTAAATAGTCTTTTACACTACACAAATAAATATATAGGTAAGTTATTGAAAGTCAAACAATGCGATATCAAATTCTCATTATAACGAACGTTGATGGTATTATATATGGCCTTTTATGATTAATGTGACACGTTACATGTCTCTGTCGACCCCCTTGTAGCCACCCTCGTAAGCGGGGTGGTTGGCGAACGATTCAGTGACGTCACAATACTGTCACTCCCAACTGTCGCACGAAATGAAAGCACGTTTTATCGGGTTTTATCGCGGACGTATTATTCCACTCAAAGGACATTTAGGAGGACACAAAAGAACTCGCTTCCTGTTTTAAGTTAAACTTTTTTTGCTCTTCAACATTGTACAAAAGCTAAATATTAAATCAATAAAGAGAAATAATTAAGTCAACAAGAAGAAAACTTTTAGAAAGTACCTAGACGTTAAGAAACAAAGAATTGTTGAATTTATTTTGTGTTCGCTCGATTCAGTGAGTAATAATCAAGTTGGTCATTTATTTGCAAATTAAACACTCACAGAAACGTAAAAACCGGTATTCTGGTTTGAAATGTGTGAAAACAAAAAACTGACTACCGTTATATTATAGGCAAATATTAAATGTCTTGATATCTAAAAATACATTAGTCGGAGTAGTTTTATGAGAGCTTATCTCAGAGGTGTATCTTACACGACGGTATATGTATCCGAAGCAGATAGTTTATTACGCTAATGCCTTGGGCGTGCGATTCAAAATGAGTATTCCCAATTACTGCATAACCAGTTCTCGTGTAGGATTATCGAGAAGATAATAATCGTGTATGCTCATAATTTAACATTTCTGTGTTCGATCTCCATCGAGACTGTAAGCTTTATAACACACATGTAATTAATCTTCTCGATACTTGATTAAATCAGACAAGTAGTCTTTACTTTAGCACTTTAGTTTTAAGCCTGCTGTATTTATTCACCTCATTTTTTTACAATGCACAATACTTCTAAAGAGGAAGAGGTAGGTTAAATAATTCTATTTCAAATGGAGGCCATTCATTTTTAACGTAATCATCTAGGATACACGGTCATCAGTTTTAAAAAAAGTGGAGTAAGTACGTAATAATAAGCTGTTAAGTTGAACTTCCAAATTAATCTGATCTGCCACGAAATTTTAGCAAAGTCTTAAGTCAAGTAATGTTGTGCAAAGTTGTTTTAATGAAATTGTTCTGGTTGTTTAAAAAGTTTCAATAAAAATTCATTACAATGAATGAATTAAATTTTCTCAGTTGAAAACTAAAATAAATTCGTATCTGGTGATTTAAAAGAATCTTTCACTGCAGCTCTTCATAGAGATATTTTCTAGAGAATCATTCTGCAAATGCAGCAGTTAAAAAAGCTTACCATGTTTTAAGGTAAATTAACTTTTGTGTTTGTAGAATAGAACGTGCGAACAAACGCACGTGTAAACGGCCAAACTTCCCTCTTCTTAAAATAAACAAACCCGTCATTAAAATAAATATTGCTCAGTTTCGTTAAAATTAATTAATAAATGTAACAAAGTCAGTAACCGGGCATCGGCAAATTCGAGAGAACTATTTAAGTAACCCGTTTACTGATGCAGACTTGGCGTATTGCCAACGAAAACGTTCGTATATAAATAAACACGATGAATTATACGAAAACATTTACAATGTACATATTCATAAAAACTCACATTTAGAAATGCAAGTGTGCAAATGTAAACGTGTAATCTTCCGTATATTTAAATATTGCCAATAAATACGAAATGAATTTAATGTACATTTCTTTCACAGCTGTTAAAAGCCAAAAATATAGTGGAAATATACTGAGCTGATATTATACCAAACATTACCAAACGTGTTCTATGAATTCAGCATCAAAGTTCGGTATCAAAGACCCACATTCCAATTAAGCGAAAGCCCCAGTGAATGGTGCATTGAATCTATACGACGTAAACGACGGCACCACAGGTACCTTGGCACACCTACATGCTCTGAATTCAATCCCATTTAAGGCTAAAGCAGAAACCACTCCAGTGGGAAGTTTTGCTATTCATAGACGCAAATTAGTGTATTATCTATATATTATATAAACATGAATTGTTTTTCGTTAGTCTCGCAAAACTCGACAACGACTGGACCGAATGGGCTAATTTTGATCTTGAATTATTTGTGGAAGTCCAGAGGTTTAAAAGGTAGATAAATATGAAAATGCTCGGACTTATAAAAAACCAACAATTTTGTTTTTCCTTTGATGTGTCCCCCGTCGGACAGATTCTTTGTGTTTGTTTTAAGTTTTAAGTTTATATTATTTTAAAAGTTTACTTTAGACTGAGGCACTACGAAGCCTGCCGGGTCAGCTAGTATTATGATAAATGAACAAATTTCAATCGTTCAGTAAAATTCAAGACGAATAACATTAAAAATTGTTGAACGCGCTCATTATAATTTGAAAACATTAAACTTGTATACAATAATTCATACATTTAAGTGGTGGATCGAAACGTCGTTCACAAAATGTGACATAGCTTTTAATGGTTCACGCTCACATGCAAGTGTTCTTGACATTTACGGTAATTACTTTCAAGAGATAAGCTTGAGCCACACGAATAACCTTTTAAGTAAGACCTACTGTCGACCCAATTAATAACCGCAGACAATTTACATATTTGATATAATACATTTATATTCATAGGGTTTTTGAGAAGCGTATAATTTTGTGTATTTATACGTTGGCATTTTTTTTTATTACTTTGAATATGTGTGTTGTTATTCTCACCTGTAGGCGGTGGGGGAGTAGGTTCAACTTGAGCAATCTGGCCGTTGCTCCTAACGGTTCCTGTTTTCTTCCTGTTTCCAGTAGTTGCTGGACTTTTCGTTGTTTCCCGCTCAACCCTCTGTAACAAGATAAATCGGTCAATTTGAAAATAATTCTTCGGCTTAAANCATGCAAGTGTTCTTGACATTTACGGTAATTACTTTCAAGAGATAAGCTCGAGCCACACGAATAACCTTTTAAGTAAGACCTACTGTCGACCCAATTAATAACCGCAGACATTTTACATATTTGATATAATATATTAATATTCATAGGATTTTTGAGAAGCGTATAATTTTGTGTATTTATACGTTGTCATTTTTTTTTTATTACTTTGAATATGTGTGTTGTTATTCTCACCTGTAGGCGGTGGGGGAGTAGGTTCAACTTGAGCAATCTGGCCGTTGCTCCTAACGGTTCCTGTTTTCTTCCTGTTTCCAGTAGTTGCTGGACTTTTCGTTGTTTCCCGCTCAACCCTCTGTAACAAGATAAATCGGTCAATTTGAAAATAATTCTTCGGCTTAAATTATTTTAATTCAAATAATGTTTAATTAATCAAGCATGGTTAACATTACTTATTTGGGCCTAAAATTTTAATGTACTGCGTAATCACTTTTTTGTGTTATGATTCTGTAGAGGTGTTCCGAGACTTGTTAGAATGGACACCAAGAGGAAGCAAGCAACATTGAGGCGTTTTAGTTTCTCGCCAGATTTTTTTAGTAGGTCGCGATTACGACTCGATAGTAGCATTCGCAAAGCAGCTGCCCTTGAGAGGGGCAAGCGGCTCAAATTGAGTGCGTGTGGGTCGGGTGACCGAACACCACATTCGTATAGGTCATTAAAGGCCGTATACAAGTTTTGTAAGTGCCAATAAAGAGGAAATCGCATGTACTCTGTTTGCAAAGCATAGGGTAAAACCAGCCGAGGATAAACACGGCGCGATCACAGACAGACTTTGACGGAGGAATGTCATGGATGCACCACCCCCAGAATGCCCGGACAATTGCCACCCGGCTAAGCCCACCCCTCGCCCACCCACCCATCCTAGTACGGGAAGAGCCTCCGGATCACCAGTAATACCTATATAAAAAAACCCTCATTAAAAAGTAATTTGGGTCACAGACTCAAGTCTTTGTGAGAATCATATCTGGAATGCATATTTTTCATAAAAAGATTTTCAAAGTTTTATCGGATAGTTAAGCTCTGGCGTGATCATTTGTAGTCACATTAGACAACGATCTTTTAAAATGGAATCAGTCAGTCGTAAAGCGCCAATCCACTTATTTCAGCTGACGGCAGGCGATCCTAGTCGAAATTGCGTCGAGTCATGAGTCACGGCATTCGACGTTTATGCTGAGTCACGCCGGTGTCGGCAAGAAAACACCGAGTATTGCCGACACAGCAGCGATCCATCGCAGCGGTTATTGCGCTGACCGAGCAGAATAAGAACACTGCGGCCGCTCACTATACTGCACTAATGTTGATTGATAATAGAAAGCATAATACTATATTAATAAATTTCACCGACTACTTTCATCGATAAGCTTCTACGGAATTTATGATAAGATATAACTATCTCTTTGGAAAACAAATGCTCTATAGATCCTTTCATCGAAGGCATTTTGTTTTATATATATATTTTTTAAAAAGGTCTATTGGAAAGCAGTACATAAATCGGTAGACCTTATCGACTAAACTGAATGTTGACTCAGCTGACCAATCGCGTGTTTTCAAAATAAGAAAACACGAAGCATGCGAAAGTTGAGGGGTGAATAAATATGGTGCGTCAGTAACGACACGATACGCGAAGCGCTCGTGAAAAATAGGACAGTTTGGGGAGACAGGGTTTTATTTTTCCTCCCCTAAAACGGGAGGGTATTTGAGTAGCCCCCACCGACCGATTTGTTTATGTGCACAGCAGGCCACTACTTTGAAATCAAACTACGTCATCGGGAAATTGACAAACAACATTTTTGCATACGAAAATTTAAAAGCAAATGGGTTCAATTTTTTTTTTAAGTATACGTACCGGAATAATTTTACTCACGTAAACAATATGGGCACCAATAAATATTTTAAGATTGAAAATAGCATATATTCTTTGGGATAGGATTCCACAAGCCGTATGGTGTTGCGTACCATTTGTATCATACTTTGTTACCGATACTTATATCAACCGTATAAATTAAGATTTAAAGTTTAAGTTACAATGGCAATGGATTCCGATATGATTCCGAATTTCAAACTGGTTCTTCAATTTAGCAATCAATATATATTTACATAGAAAAAATATTTTTACGATAGTTTAAATTTCATTTTAAAAATGACTTAAAATTCATTTTTATAATGTTTAACACTAACATCCGAAAACGCCCATTTAATTATAATTGGGAAACAAAGTTTAAAATCATAATAAAAGCAGTTTCACAAAAAAAAATATAACGCACATTAAAACATCAAACACATATTTCCTGTCACCTTCCCACATCAAAGCGAGATATTTAAGACAAAATCACGTCTGAAGTGAAAGTGAAATGGTGCATTAAAGAGAAAGTGTGGTTGTACCGCACTCATGACTGACCTACGCAATGCGACACAAACTAAGCCACGGTTGCTACTTACACAAGGAATGCACGCCTTGCATTTTCTCAACCTATTAACATAACACGCTTCCTTGTGTCCATCCATTTTAATCCGTCAAATCCCTCCTAGACGATGTCCAACGCGACAACGACACAAGAAGCAGTAGTTTCTATCTAAATTTAAACGCTTGGCAACGCCCCAAATTAATAATTTATGGCAGTGGAATATTGAAGCTATTTTCGTTTTGCTATTCACGAATTAATAAAATATATCAAGGGAAGATAAAATTGTTCAGGTTGTTTATAACAATGTACTATTTATCAACTTCAAAATTTTATTAGCTGCATTGAATACACAATCGTAAATTAGGCAGATAATCGCTTTTAATCTAATCGTATTTATTTATGACGATAATGTTCTATACTCATTGTCAGTTAGAATAAATAAATGAAACGAATGGTATCAAATTTAGAATACAAATACGCTGTAGTCGTAAAAGGTACGTTCAGTGATCTCATTAAACATTAATTAAAAGTATCGTTAAAACTGTACTATGGTCTCATATATACACAGACAAATGTTTTGATCTAAGCATCAAAACCTACTGCTATGAATAAATATATTTTACATTTCACAGCTCATCATAAAAACCAACGATCCATTTTATGCAATATTAAATTTAACCATGCCATTCGCTCTAGAATGCGATGGAACCTATAATCAGTTAACTCTTTGTGGCGTTTAACTATATGTATATGACATTTCGGTAATATGACATCTATATATTAATACGTGAAGCAAAATCTTTGTATCCCTTTTTACGAAAATTGCGCGGACGGAGGAGTATGAAATTTTCCACACTTATAGAGAATATAGAGAAGAAGTGCACAATGCTAATATATTTTTAAAAGAATGCATAAAAGATACATTAAATCAATAAAGAAAACATTACACACAGTACCATGTATTTGACACACACACATATAGTCTTTGTTAATTGTCAAAATTTTGTTATTGCTTAAAGTCTGCAGTCAAATTGAGAATAGATTAGTATTGTTTATCTTTAATATTACGAGCATTTGTCTTGGCGAAATCTGTAACTATAGGACCATAATAATGTTGAAACTTATAAATTCAATTAATTATAGTCGAATTTCGACTACTGCGGGCCCACTAGTTTCGGTAATTATGCAAGAATTTAATTTAAATATAAATTATATTGTTATTAGAAACGTAATTGTGTTAATTAAATAAGCGTAAGCATTTCAATAACAGAATATTTGAAACACGCTTTGTCTCAATTAAAGCTTTGATGTGGGCGTCTTATTATTATTAACAGTAGAATATTATTATGTTCTTTGAACTGACTTGTGTTCTATGTTAATTTAGTAACTAAGTGATTTCGACAGCAACTTACAGTTTAAAGTCTGCGTATTATTATGTATTGTATTATTATGTGCTTTGAAGCCTTTTGAAGCATCAATAGATCGTGAACATTATCAAAGCATTCATTCACCTTTGATTCGTATCGATCTTTACGTAATAATGTTGTTCATTAATAATTTGGCGAGGAAACATGTTTTCTTATGGGTTTTTTAATTTATTTTCTTTGTTGTCTTTGTAGGCGGTAAACACTCACCATCAGGTGAGTCGCCTATGGACATCAGCAATGCCAGGAGCAGAGCTAAGCCACTGCCTATAATTAAGCACTCTCCACAAACTTCGTTTGAAGGAGGACATGTCATAGCGCTCGGGAAACATCGTAGTGGGGGGGAGCTCGTCCTAAATCCAATCCCAAAAACCTCGATAAAATTGATATGATTTTTAAAATTCTTACACAAAAAAAAACTTGATTACTCGAAAACAACCATAACAAACATTTTGTATTAATATCAGACTTGAAGTAGAATATAAAAGGTCAAACACAAATATCATGTTTCAAACAAGAAAATTCAATATTCTATATGAAATAGCTTCCCTATTGTTCATGGCTGTAGTGAATTTCAAAGAAGCTATCCGCACATACATATACTCTATGATTGTTACATTTTTCTGAGTCACGGTTTGGGTTTCCGAGTTATGTATTTGATGTTATGTAAATGTTTTCTGAAAGTTAAGAATCAAATTAAATGTGAGGTTTGTTTTCGGAGCAGGTTGATATTTTTTTATCAAATTAATTATTAACAAAGATAATTAGCACCTATTAAATTACATCTAGCTTCGTAGTGGCGTTATTTAATATATTTTTGGTTAACATTTTATTTCGAAGCCTGAACGAACACTAATGATTGTCCATTTCTGTTTACTTTGAAATTGCATTTACTCTCAGGCATGTTGCCAGATCATCAGAAATACATTTAAACATAAGATTACGTGCGAGAAATCACTGAAATTTTCGATATTCCTCTCAACGTTTCCATCAAAACACCCGCAGCGTTAGTAAACATCAGGTGAATGACACAATAAGTGGTAGAGCGTGATTTATTTACAAGTTCA